GCAGCTATTTTGGGGGAGGGGAGAGGAGAGTGATGTTGTGGGTTCCCATACCTGCACAGGTTTTGTTAATCAATGTTTCACTGGAAAAAAAATCAATATTTACAAGTTTGTTGCTTCCTCCATTTAAAGCTTTGTTCCTATGTGAGTTAATTTAGCTCCTTGAACATATTTAAGATCACAATGTTCCTTTAATTTTCGCTTGGTCTTTTTTCTTCTTTGTACCCGCCAACCTTGGCAATACTGCCTTACCCTTCAGAGCCTGCCCCTTCGCGGAAACCCCGTCTCCCTCTCACCCAGGGGAGGCCCCACGGTTGCCCCCTGGCGCCTGCCGTTCCCGCGGCACCGCCACGGTGGCTCTTTAGTCTGCGGGGTTAGATTCTCTGACATAGTTTGCATTACTCATCAAAATAATTTTTAAAAACTAGAGCCTGGCAACCAGGGATTTCTACTAACTGCTGTGTCCTGTCCATCTACAGCCGCGACCGTAATCAGCTGTTGGCCGGGGAGACTTGGGGTAAAGCAGGAGATCTCGATGTCAGTCTCCATCCTTCGGGAAGAGAAGGCAGAGCCCGTGCCGCGCGGCAGGGACACCGTGGATGGAAGGCAGCATGTCGTGGCCTGCCTCCCTCTGTTCGGTTTCTTATTTTTGCTTCTTTCTAGTAATTCCCTTCCTCCGCGTCGTCTCCAGCTGCCTTTACCGTGTGTCTGTTTTCTTTCTATACTTTTTGACGTTCCCTTTTCTTCTTCCTTTCTCTTCCGTTTGGCCCAAAATCACACACTTCTTTCTTGAGAAGGCCATTCCAAGCCCTCCTCATTCTTTTCAAGGAGCTTCACTTAAAATCATTTCACTGTTTCAAATCCATTCATTCAATAAATTACCATTAGTGAAACTTCTATACTCTTAAGCACTTAACTAGGCACTGGGAGAATTAAGATGAATAATAATAATAAAATACCAGAATTCAAAACATTCAAAATCTAGCAGGAGAACAGGCATATAGAAATAAATGTAATACATGGTTTAGGCACTAGAATATAAGTTAAAACAACAAAATAGTCAAGAATGCAGATTCCAGAGTCAAATAGACTTAAGTTTGAATTCAGTTGCTCTAACAGAGATAAAGAAGATACTGATGAAGTTGACTTGACAAGACCTAGTTAGCAGTTGTGGAAGGGGGAGAAGACAGAGGAAGGAAAGGGGAGTCAAGGATGGTTCCCAAGGTGCTAGTTTGCTGGAGGGGACCCAGAAGAGACACATTCACAGGGAAATGTGATCGATCCAAGTCTGATTACTGTCTAGTAGGTCTGGAGACTTTACACACACACACATGCGCACGCCAGGCAACACAGCTTCTGTATTCCTAGGAAATTTCCTTCACAGCACAGCAGTGAGCTCGTGAAGTCATTTAAGAAATCTAACCTGACAAAACTTCATCTAACTATAATTTCTTAAAAGTATTTTCTCATCTCAGTTTTACACGTGCTCTACATTCATGTTTTCTTTCACCCACCTTTGATGCTACTTTTAATTAATTTGCAAAACGAACTTCTTACCAAGCAAATCTTACCTGGACCTGTCCCATCATGACTAATCAGAACTTTCTTCAATTTTCCAAGAGACACTGCCTCAATGGAAAAAATATCAACCTGTACGATAAAAAATTAACTGAGTGATTGTTAGGACAGTTCCTTTCTCAAGAAAAAGTACTTTTGCTGTCAGCATTGCACTATTACATCACTGTAACGCTGTGTGTTACTACTGTACGATTACTACTATTTCTATAAAAATTACCACTTACTATTTTATATGCAAAGTCCTATCTTATGCCTTGTGAGACAGGCACAAATGTGCAACATAAAGTTCACACTCTCCTCAATATACAGCCTAGTAAAAATGATTTTAAAATTTTAACCATTACATTTATTCTGTCTACTAATACTAATGGTAACAGTAGTTCTTACGGACCTCACCATGAACAAACCTGCCTAAAAGTTTGTAAAATACATATTAACTCATTTAAATCTTAGCATCATCTATGAGGTAAGCACTTATTTTCTTATTTTACAGTTGAAAAGAATGAAACACACAGTTAAATCACTCGCCCAGGGACAGCATTGAGTGAGTGACGGAGCCAGGACTCAGGCCCCAGCAGTCTGCCTGCAGAGCGTGTGATCGCAGCCACTGCTGCTTGCTTGTCAGTAGCTTTCCTGCAGGACCTGCCCGGGCTCTGCTCTGGGAGGACTCGCACAAAGCTCCCCCTTGTCGGGTGGGGGTTTAGGAGGGCTCTCCCCAGACCCAGGAGCCCCCAAACCTCTGTACTTCCACTTCCCAATCTCAGCTGCCACCTACAAACGACAGGACAGAGCACTCTGCTGGGTACCAGGCTCTCCTCTGAGCATCCTCCCTCTCTAGGCACTTGGACCCTTGAGCCCTAACTGCCTTGGCAGCGCTCCACTGCCTATAAAACCAACTTAAAAAGACATTTACCAAACGTTTCTACCAGCAGGATGGTAACTGTTACAAGCTAGACTGCCCTAGCTGGACGGAGAATCTCGGTCGGGGCTTTTCCTTGGGTTTTTCTTTTTTGGCTGTTTCTTGTTTTTAATAGAAGAAGAAACTGGGACTTAGGAGGTTACATCGTTCCTGCTTAAGTCCCACCTCAAGTCAACTCCAGAGCAGTAAGATGCACACCAAGAAATGACCACACCGACTGTACTTCCTAACTGGTATCAAATGAGCATCTCGGGAATGTTCTGTTTGTGTGCCTTTTTAGTCAGAGAAATTAGAGGACAACGTGCGGGCACAAATTTATAAGCATGTTTTTCTTACCTGTCCACGCCGAAACGTGACCTTGTTGTTCTTGGATCGATGAAGCCTTCGAGCCCCCGAGTCTCCTCTGGTGCCAATGAGGTTGATAAACACGCGGGACTCTGTCTCTGCACCCGGCCTCCTGCCAGTGCACACGTGGACCACGTAAAGCACCACTGGAATGTCCGAAGTCCGTGTTAGGTTCCTCGTGCTTGTCTCCTCTTTGAATGCAGCTAGATCCCCCGGAAGGGAATCAGAATGCTCCTTATCTAGCTGACGGCAGCTGCTCCTCGGTACCTGGCCCCGCCCTCTTCCTGACGTGCACCCCAGTTCAGACACACTCTTGCCTATTTCATGTTTACCTCATTCATACAGACGCTCAGTTACTCCCAGAACTCCTGTTTCAAAATAATTATTGTTAGCAATTTTGCACTTTCATTAACCACTATACTTTCACAGTTATTATGAAAAGTTGTATTAAAAAAAAAACAACAAAACTCTTCTCTCTCTTAATTAGATAAAAGCAGCAGTTTTTCTCCTAAAGTCTGGCTGCTCTAACCTCAGCCAGTCACTCGTGCTGCCACTTCATGGAGATTACTGTTCCAAAAACGGAGATTCTTAACAGCCCTCTTGACCAGAAAGAAAAAAAATGTCCTAGAGAGAAGCAACTTTAAATATGATTTTTTAAAAAGCACTCAGTGAGGTACCAGCAAATTATAATCCACTATATTTGACCTTAGAATTAAAGCAGTTTCTGAGACACTGGTCGAAGCCACTAATTAGGAGAGAGGCTGCTCCTTGCTGATGCTACTAATATGAATAATATCTTGGATACAAAGAGTACTTTTTATTCCAAGATCCTAGAGCTCTTTCTAAATCACGCTCCTGGCAATTGAACAGTTGCATTTATAGAAATTCACATTAACATTTTCCAAAGAACTCAGACATGAAAATCCAACAAGTAAGAAAACAAGGTACGTGAGAAACACGGCCTGTTTCCATCAGACCTGACCTTTAAAGAGACAAACGCGGGGTGCTGGGAAACGGTGGAGGCAGAGAAGATAAATCAGTTTCTTTGTGCAGTCTTACAGAGTCTAAAATGCCCCAGGGTGAGACCCAGCTGAGCTTGAGCAGGAAATTTAGAGCACTTGTTATTTGAGGACAACCAAAGAAATCTTATAAAGAACCTATCAGGAAGAGCTGGTCTTACAGCCTGCGTGACCGTATGAACTGAGCTAAGCCGCTGCGCACGGAAGCAGGTGTGTGGACAAGCAGGACCTGAAGTCTTTGCAGATAAACAGCGCTTCCGTTTACCGAGAATTTTTTCTTCGTTTCAGACGAAGAGTGAACTAGTTTACAATTAAAAAAAAGGGGGGGAGGGCATTTAAAACTATATAACATAAAAAATTACTTAATAGTTAAAGGTTTTAAGAAGTACATATCAAAAATTATTGAGAATAGAGACTACATCACAGATACAGAAAACAAACTTGTGTTCAACAAAGGAGAAAGGGAGTGGGGGAGGGGTACATTAGGAGCTTGGGACTAACGGTTACACACTATTACATATAAAACAGACAAACAGCAAGGACCGACTATACAGCACAGCGAACTGTATTCAGTATCTTGTAATAAATCAGAAGGAGAAGAATATGAAAAAGAATTAATAAACATGTATATATAAGTGAATCACTTTGCTGTGCACCAGAAACTAACAGAACATTGTAAATCAACTATACTTCAATAAAAAAAATTTTCTAAAGGAAAAAGATTATTTAGAACAGAGACTATATATTTATACCATGAACAGCACAGCCGTCCCTCAGTCATGCTACATGCCAGTGGGCACATCGTGTTCCTTGCCCGCCACCTGCACGTGCCTCAAATACTTCTCAGCACTCTGTTTCCAGAAGCTGCTATATATTAAGTTTAATAAACAGGCACAGAAAAACGAAAACAAAACAAAACAAAACTCAACTTGCCATCTACATCCAAAGAAAGAGAAATAAATGTACCAGAAATTTTAAACAAAGTGATTACCATAGATGAGCACTCAATTTTATCCTCAAACAACATCAAGAAGCGTCATGAAGTTTAAGCTGGAAGCTGAAAGAAAGCACGTGGTCCTGCTGGGGTAGACAGGCGCTTCGCTGGGATCTGCACCAGTGACTCTGCCGGTACTGGGCAGCACAGCTCACTAAGCGCTGGCTATAGTTCTGCAATGGAAGTATGTAGATTCTTTCAAAAAATGCTAAATGCATCACAATAGATTCTAACTCCTGACTTTCTCGTGATTCTGAAGGCAACATAAAATTCTTCCTATCCGACGATGCAGCGGGGAAATTTAAAGATTGCTCAGTTACCACATTGCTTCATACACCCTAAAACACCACGTGCTGCAGCAGCACAAGAAGATGGCAGCAAACCCTTCTTCAGTGCCTGTCCTTGGGCATGAAAGTCCGTGCTCAGTGTCCTTTGTTTAGAGGCAGGGCCGTGTGTTCTACCAACAGGCATGCATTCTGACAAAGTACCTTTAAGAGAGGGACACCCCACACCCAAGGGGTGAACTCCTGAAGGATCCCGCGGATAAGTCCAAAATGTGAGTCAGAAGAGAACGTACAATTAGCTCGCATACTTGAAAAATACCAGGATGGGGTTCCAGGTGTCTGTGCCACACAGAATGGAAGAGACCATTTTACTTGGACAAATTCAAAGACAGGTATTAACCCATCACCCTGACTACAAACAACTGTTCTTGAAGCACTGAATTTTAAGAATGTATCTGTCACCCTCGTTGCTAAAAGTATATGAAAGAGTTAACTTGCTGATTTAGACATTTCCTCTGAAAATGTTTAAATGTCCTTTTTACCATACTTGATGCTGAATTTTTCTTTCTGACACTTCGGCTGCTTACGACAGCCCTCCTCACCCCGCCCTCTGCCACAGCTGTCATCCAGCTCATCTGACACCTGCGCTACCTGTTTTCCCCATCTGGGGGCACCTTTTTCACTTGTGTCTGTAATGCCACCACCTTCGACACTCTCATCCTACGTTCACCTGTGGTTACTGTCACTTCCACTGCCTCCCCACCTCTCAAGGCGTGCTCAGCGCGGTGTCGCTGTCAGAGCTCAGCACTGCCAGGCTGCAGGAACTTGCAGACTGCGCACTGAGAGGTAACGCCGTCTCACTAAGGACAGGGAAACCTTTCACGCTTCCCCTGTGGGGTTTTTCTCCCCCAGGCGTCATTTTGGGGCAGAGTCTGTGCTAAGCGCCTGTCAGCATCACCTCCAAGCATCCACATCTCCGTAAGTAGAGTCCTTAAGATCTGCCTTCAAGGAGCCCTGGGCTCTCCGGCTTCTGCTGACGGCACACACGGAGCTGAAAGCCCTCCACTTGTCTCCCTGTATAGTCACATGTACATTGTATGTATTGCTGTTCCTGGGGACACAGAAGTCCTTCACCACAGGGATGTAGTAAAGATGCCGCATGGCTGGGGAGGAAGCAGAAACACGACTTTTTTCACTGGAAGTTAACCGGAGGGGGCCAAAGTCATGATGGGCCGGGAGTTTCCTCGAGGACAGGTTGAGAGGGAGGAGGCAGTCCTCAAAGAGGAGGTGGAGTGAGATCGCTCAGGGGCGGCCAAGGAGAACAGAGGGCGGTGCTCACAGCACGGGGGTCCTGCCCGCATCCCGGGTGGATCCAGGAACTAAGGCAAACGCATGGAGTGAGAACAATCCTAAATGGATCAGCTTTCGACCAAGAGACCCCAAGCTTTACACTGGAGTTTACTGAGCTCAGATTCTCCCCCTCGGCTGCCCTGCAGAGCTAGCCCCCCACACTTAGAGAAGGGGCACCCAAAGGGTCTCTGGCCAGTCAGCCTCCCAGGGGTCTCCAGTTGGCAGATGACCTGGGGCCACGACCTCTCAGGGCCCTTTCCTCCATCCTGGGAGACAAACCGTTGACACATTTCAGGCCCCACCAGGCTTGGGTGACACAGACAAGAAATCATAGAGTCTAAGGAAAAGGCTAAAGGGCAGTGAACCTCACACGTGTCCCCATCTCCCTGTCAAAGTGCACACAGTATGTTTAGTGAATGTAGGTGTGGGGTTTTTCTCCTGAACACTTCCTCAATCAGGAAAAAGATGTGATTGTTCATGCCTGGGGGACTCCCCAGGGCTGGCTTTTCAGCCAGGATGCTCCAACGGTCCCAGGTGATACTGCATGACTGCCCCGCCGAGAGCTCGTGTGGCCCCCGGGAGCCAGCCCCTCTCTGCGCATGGGCGCCGGGCCGGGGAGCACTGAGGGGGCCCGCACCACCTCAGGGAGTGAGCACCAGCGCCGGGGGGCCTCCACCGGCAGCCCGACTTCACCTCCCTGCGACTAAGCTCTCGGCTGAGTCTCAAGTTTGGTCTAATTAATGGACTGTTTCGGTGTTTTCTTGCAGGTCACCAAGAACTAAGCCTTCTCAGCACTCACTGTGAGTGACCACGTGGTGCGAGCTGCCCCGAGGACTCACGCTCAGACACAGGCGGTGAGTGAGACTCGGCGTTAAACACAGGCGGGCACCTCCGTCTGCACTGAAGGCTCGGTGGTTCCGGGTTGAATCTTCTTGTGCCTGTTGGTTAAAATTATTTGTCTTATCGCCGAAAATGAAGTACCTCTGAGGTGTAGAAAGAAAAGAAGTGCAGGGGAGGGAGGGAGAGGGGTTTCTAGCTGAGAAGGTCCCTGGACCAGAGGCCTGACCAAAAGGTGAAGGAACTGGCCGTGCAGAGGCCGGAGGAGGCGGGGGACAGTGGGCGGGGCAGAAGGACCAAGGCCTGGGAGCCGAGGGGACAGCTTGCCTGGCGCTTCAAGGGCCACGGAGGCTGGAGCCGGGGCAGCCGGAGAAGGACTTGCAGGAGGCAGCAATGAGCCGGGCTGTCACTCCGAGTGAGCTGGGAGCCCTTCAGGGCGTTGCAAGCCAAGGAGTGACATGATCTGACTGACACGTTCAGAGGGCCCCTCTGGCTTTGGGGCTGAGAATAGCCTGGCTTCTGCCCGCGGTGTTCTTTGTGGTTGTCCTCCCATCACGACAGCAGCGACGTACCGGGAAGGAAGCAGGAGGGAGCCAAATCTAAGGGAGAGGATGAAGGAGTGAATCCGGTGTGCCTGAGGGCCTCCCAGCTGCCAGCACTGCAGCCATGTGGTCTCACGCCTGCTGGAAACCCCACCTGGTCACCTTACGGCTTGTCTGGAATGGTCCCAACAGACATCCGTTGCCTGGGCGTGAGGATTAACGGGGCCCTTCTCTCGCTCAAGGGCGCCTGGTCGGGACGGCCAGCGAGCACCCTAGCACGGGTGTTACAGCCCGTTTCACAGGCAAAGAACCAAGACTCAGAAAAGCCTGCGTGATCTGCCCCCGTTCAGGAAGCCAGCGGGTGAGGCCAGGATTTGAGGCCAGACTCTGCTTCTCTGAGCTTCAGCCGTCGCGTGGATGAAAGGGTCTTTGCTTAGCTGCTCGCGTCCAGAACTTGCTGCAGGTTGTCAGAAGCCTTTCAGAAAGACACCTCTTTTCTCACTACTTGAAGTCTGACAAACACAAATACTCTGAAGCAGACACACGTCTGCTCTGACGGTCCTTTCTTACTTTCGCGCACAGCTCTTTCTTGATTTGAAGGAAACCGCTAAGCACATCTCCAGTGTGCTTGTCAAAACCTAGCACCAAGCGCTTTTTCACCCCCAGGTGGGGCCCCAGCCTCATGTCCCGTTACCACCCGTCTCTTGTGCAGAAAGCTTGGAGCCAGAACTCGTGAAGGGGCCACTGTGGGCCGAGTGGGCTTTGTTGTCAGCTCTGGGCCTCCTGCCCGGCCATTGAATACAGGTTCTCCGGGACAACCAACTGAGGACGGTCAGCACCTCCCCGTGCCCTCCTCACCAACGGCAGACAGCCAGAGAGGGGGCGCCAGGAGGAAGATGTGTGTGAACACGTTCCGCCCGCCGGGGCTGGAGTCCAGGAAAAGGTCGCTCGGATCCCACCAGCCATCCAGTCCAGCCCCAGCGTGATGATTTAGACACTAATATCCCCAAAACTCCTCTTCTTTTGAAAGCACGCCAGGAATCTTTGGGAAAGAGGAGGCAAAGCTGCAAAATTAACTGGCCCAGAGTGTAAGCGCCAGCTGCAGTGAGAGTCGCTCTCTGTGCTGCTAAATTAAAAATACAGATAAACCTCCAGCGGGTCCCTAGGACTCTATCCAGCCTGGCAACCTGAAGTACTAACCGCTGAATTAAAAAAGAAAAAATCCTTCACTCCCTCTTCGTGCCCCTCCCTGGGCCGGCTGCAGGGTGTTCTGACAGACGGACAGACAGTCTCGAGCTGTTGAAGGTCAACCCACCCCCCTAGTCCTCCTTCCAAACCCAAACCAGAGAAGCATCAATTCAGTGGCTGTCATCTCCTCTTCCTGACTTCCATGACGTCACAGGAGTAGTTAATGGACCCCTCAGCGGCACGAAACGCCACCTTCCAAAGGAGACGCTCGGTGCCTTGAACGGTTCCATACTCACCAGGATGTTCTGATCCCTAGTTAATGCCTCAACACTGAGGTGTCATTATTTTTTCATTTTCTTATTTTAATGATTTCCTCCTAATTGTTCAGTCCGGGAAAGGGGTGGTTGGAATGATTTGTCAGAACTGGAGAAAAGTAAGAAGACTGGTTGAGGTTAGCACCAGGCGGCCCATATTGTATTCTATTGTTTTGTAGGGGAAAATGTCTTAAGAAATGGTGGTTGTGTTTCAGCTAAGAAATTACCCCTTTAAATGGGAAAGGCTGATGGGCAAAGCTTCATTAGCTAGTCTGGGAAAAGGATGAGCAGGAAGACGCAGGGGAGGCAGGCCGAGCCTTCACTGCCGCTCAAGGTAAATGAGCCCCAAAGCGACAGTTCATTTAAAGAACAGTGGACTTTCTTTTGTCTCTTGCACTTTTTTTTAAATCCATACAGCTGCTTTCCACATTTCTTTGCATGTAACAAATTGTGCAGCTATGTCACCCAGGAGGCAAGGGGAAGAAGCAAAACAGTTGCCTAACGGAGTTTAAATAAAGTTCATTTAAAAATAACGCAGCCTTTCCAAACACTGCAAGTTGAGAAGTAACGAATAAAGTCAGCCAACAAGATTTCTTCTCCTACCGGTACTATGGGTTTTGAAATTCTTCTATACGTCAGGTTTAAAAAGCAGAATGATTTCTTGACAAATGTTAGCAACTGAGTGAACAGTATAGATGACATCCCGCCTAGCGTGGTGACGGGGTGGGAACCAGGGTCCTGAATTTCTTAGGGCTCTTCTGTCTTTCCCACTTCAGCCTTCTGGGCATCCCTGGACACCGCTGCCACCGTCACAGGACTGACTGTAGGACAGCTGAAACCACCGGGGTCTGGACCTCTATGCTTCAAGTGAGATTTTAGAAGAAAAAGTGCTTTTGCCAACTGTCAAAATTTATGTACAAATATAAAGAATTAGTAGTATAAAGACATTTCTCCACTCATTAACTTGGTCTCATCCTAAGTCTTTCTTGCCGTATCTGAATGAACCAAGTATTTCTACAGCACATCCTAACAGGGACCGAGGACATGTGAAGGAAGCCCTGCTGGGAGATGAGGTCAATCAACCTGGAGTCGGTGAAGGAGAAGACTCCATGTAAGTGCAGAGTAAACAGTGCTGAGGCCGAGGGGCAGGGATGTGATGGGTTCAAAGCCTCAGTGAGCCTCCTAGCGAAGCCCTCCCAGGGAGGCAGAAGAAGAGAAACTGACGGGAGGGGCAAATCGCGGAGTCATTAGAGGACGGGCAACGAGAGTCATGCAAGGCGAACAACTCCAGGGCAGGAGCCCTGTGTGCACAGTGCACATTACCTCTCGCACACAGTAGGCACCTAACACCCGTTGGTAGACATGTGTCTACCTTTGCGTGTGGAATGGTTGAGTGAACAGACAGTGACTGGACATTAAAGATGATGAGACGTTGGATCACCCCACGGGACACCGGGGCTCCGGGCAGGAAAGAGGACAGAGGTGTTGAAAATGAAGGCTGTTGGTCCTCTGGGCAGAGGGAACCATGGAAGCCAGGGAGCAGCTCGACAGGCAGGGAAGAATCCAGCATTCCAACCCACACTTTCAGGCGACAAGGACCAAGAGGAGCCAGCGGTACATACAGACAAAAATCAGAGCAAACAGTGAAGAACTCAGTTGGTATCATGGGCTGGAGGTCAGGGTTGGAGAGAGATTTGATAGTTGTGATGGTGAAGGCTAGTATTTACTGCATGATTACGACGTGTCGAGAACTAAGTACCATCAGTACATTATCCTAAAGACCGAGTGCATTAGCTCATGGACTCCAAACAGTCCTATGACACAGGCACTGTTTTTATTCCCGTTTTATAGGTGAGGAGGCAATGCTGGCCAAGGGCGGCTAAGAGACTTGCCCGGGGTGACACGGCAAAACACACCGCCACGCCCAGACTCCCCCAGTGTGTCTGCTTTCAGAGCCTCCAGGAACCCCTGCCCCTCGAATGAGGGAGCGACAGAGTCGGGTACAGTAGAGGGGTCGGGAGGCTGAGAAAACGCACGCGCTCACACACAGTCATTTACTTTGGTAGCAGCGATAACAAGGTGGTTATCGGAGAGACAGGAAGCGGATGGAGAGAAAATTAAGGCAACGTGTGAGTTCGCTTTCAGGCAAACAAACAAAACAGAACCTCGGTAAGTGAACTCAGGTGCTCCTAAATTCACGACTGGTGACGTGTGTTCACAGGGCACAGCCAAGAAGAAAGTCACACTTAAATGGCTACCGAAAGAGTTTACAGAAAGATGAACTGACAATGTGCACACACCCTGTTGTGGATGTTTTGCCCCGACAGCCAGACAAGCGCCAACCCCAAAGCCCTAATGCCCTGAGTCAGGCAGAGACTAACATCAGCCTGTGGGGAGAACCTGCGAGCCCCAGTGCTCGCACAGTCCAGGAGCTAAAAATGCTTCTTACTGTTCTTGATGGTTAAAAATAATAATAAAGCAGAATACTATTTTTGACAAGTGAAAATTTTACAAAATTCTAATTTCAGTGTCCACAAATAAAGGTTTACTGGGGCACAGCCATTCCATTAGCTGACATAGTGTCTGTAGCAGCTGTCTCACTAGCTGGCAAAGTTGGGCAGTTTTGAGAGAATTCATGGCCCACGAAGCATAATATCTAGTGTCTGGCCCTTTACAGAAGAGGGTTGCTGACCTCTGCTCTAACTCATCTCAATGATTTAAAAATTTGATACACAGCACAAAGGAAGTGAAATTAGATACCTGGCAAAGGTGCCCTGCTGGTTCCCACAACGGGCATTTCTTTCCATGTGTCTCCGTCATTTTCATCCTCAGCTATCCAGGAATCAACAGGTAAACAAAACAGTTCACGCGTGTCTATATTTTCAAGTCTAATTTCTTCCAAATACCACCTGGGATCGTTTCCACTGTTGTCATGTCCAACACGTACTTTATAAATGTCACCAATATCTTTAAGATTTACCTGCAACACAAAAGAGAACAGGGTAAATAAAGCTCCCTACATCTCCAGTCTGATTTTTCAAATCGCATATTCACATCCAATTTTGAACTTGATGGCTACTTTCCCCCTCACACACTCCTTATTGCTCTCCCTTAGGACTAGTTACTGGTAACACCACGAAATGTCAAAGAACAGATCCACTGACCACGGACAAACCAACAGATTAAATCTAACCAGTTGTTATTACATCGTTTTTAGCAACTGTTATCTTGCAAAGTGAATTGTTTGTAATTATTGATGTGCACTAGTTATTAGACCTGAAGAATAAAATAACCTAATAAAATGATAAGATAGTAACAGATTAAAATCAAATTGCCTTCAACCTGAGAACCAAAGGTTTATCCAGGCAAGGAAGTCTGCTTAAACAGACATTTAAAGTCAGTCAGTGTAACCCATGACGTTGAGAGGTAAAAGAAGAAGAGAAACAGCATCTGATAAAATTCAACCCATTTATAATAAAAAATCTCACAAAAATAGGAAGAGCATTTACCAAAAAGAAAATAAAACTGTAGCTAATACTATACTTAATGGTAAAAGACTGAATGCTTTTCCACTAAGAAGGGACCATGGCGAGGAGTCTGTGTTCCGCACTTTTATGCAATGCAGTGCTGAAAGTTCCAACCAGTGCAATAACACAAGAAAAGGAAATAAAGTGCACACATTTCTAAATTCTTAGACATGTTACAAAAAGCATAAGCTATAAAAGAAAAAAATGATAAATTGGATCTCATCAAAATTTAAAAACTTTGGCTCTGTACAAACACTTTTAAAAGATGAAAAGACAAGCTACAGACTGACAGAAGTTATTTACAAACCACATATCTGATAGAGGACTCATATCCATATATAATACGTATTTAAATGAAGGATGTATAGCTTTAAGTGCATATATGTAAAAAACAAACTTCTCAAAAAACATTAAAAAAATCCAATTAGAAATGGGCAAATGATATGAAGAGACATTTTAACAAAGAGGATATATCAATGGCAAATAAGCACATGCCAATATGTTCTGTATTAGGGAAACGGAAATTAAAGACACAGCTAAAATAAAAACTAACACCACCACCAAATGCTGGCATGGGTGCAAAAAACTGGATCTCTGATACATTTCATACATTGTTGCTGGGACTGTAAATAGTAGTCAGTCTAGAAAACAGTTTGGCACTTTCTGTAAAAAAAACTAAAGATACACTACCATACCACTTAGCAATTGCACTCCTGGCATTTATTCCAAAGATAGGAAAACTTATGTCCACACAAAGACCTGTACACAATGGCCTAACATCTTTATTTATAACCATTCCAAACTAATAACAACCAAAGTGTCCCTCAGTGGGTGAATGTGGTACGTCCATACGATAGACCACTACTCAGCCATAAAAAGGAATAAACTATTAATATCTGCGACAACTGGGTGGATCTCAGGGCGTTATAATAAATGAAAAGGAAAACTAGTCTCAGAAGTCACATGCTGTGTAATTCCAATTATGTAACATCCTCAACATGACAAAATTAGAGATTAAAAACAGTGGTGTTTGCCAGGGACGGTGGAGGTGTGTGGGTGGGGGCGGGGCTGTGACTGTGAAGGGGGGTGAAATAGCTCTCTGTCTTGTTCACGGTGGCGGTTACATGAATCTAGCACCTGATAAAATGGCATGTAGTGATACACAGCAACGCCTAAGTCTTGATTTGATACCGGACTGTAACTATGTAACATCAGCCCACTGGAGGAGATCTGGGTGGAGATGGTATGTGAAATCTTTCTCTAGTATCTTGGCAATTTCCTGTGGATGTATAATGATTAAAGAATCAAAAGTTTAAAAAATAAAAACAGACACTTACCAGCCATCTTTTTTATCTTTAGCAAGGCCATCTAGAGACCTCATCCCCGAGGGATGAGGGATTTTTGTCCGCCCAGTGAGCTGTCCTCTACACTACTGTCCAGCTCACCGATCTAGAGCAAGGGTGAGTCCCCTCTTTAGCTGGTTGTGGCGGGTGTGCAAGGACCCAGGCACTCTTTCTTCACCTTGGTGTAACGCCTCCTTTTTCCTGGGCTACTTGAATTACTTACAATTCTCCAAGTCTTTTCCTTCCTTCCCACACGGATAGAAATACATTTTTGTACTTATAAACAGATACATAATTAAAATATGAAACAAAATAGTCATATATTCAAGATACTCATAAAGTAAATGTGTAGTTTTTAATTTTAATACATTTGCATCTGTAGACGATATAAACAATTCGCAAAATGTAGGAGAGATGGAATTTGCTCACCATTTAAATTGCTAATGATCTGGGTTTTCTCCCCTAATTTCTTCCCTTTATATTCCAGGTAATAAAAACTGTGCTATGCTGAATGACATCAAAATTATCCAAAATCATGGACACATTGAAAGAGAAGATTCCCGCAGTCAGACATTCTGCTCTGCGGGTGGCTTTTCCCGTTGCATTTGGCAGACTGTTTTCATCTTTTACAGAAGTGAATTTATTACAGTTTCAAATGGCACAGGGCTTTACAGGAATCCCATTTATTAACACTCCTTTATTTATTAAAGTCAATAAATAATTAAACATATACTGTTATATATACCCTTCTTTGCATTACAACTATATTTTGTACATTTTATATTCACTTTTCTCTTTTGAATATAATTACTAATTCATGGCTTTTCACCGTCTCCACTTGTTTCAATTAACTATTATGATTATTGTCGCTGTTACGAGGACATGCTCAGCCAGGGCAAGCCCCGTTGAAGTTTCTCTTCTGTCCTTCAGCCCTGCCCCTGATATTTCCGAAGCCATCATGGGTTCCAGACTGATTCTGTTTTTTCCCCACTGGAAGACGTGGCCTCAATTCCCCACCCAGGTTTCCCGGCTCTTCGCAGCGGCAGGCACGATGACGCACTAGTAGGGGCAAAACACGGGCACGGGGGGCACTGGAGGGTAGTGGGCGGGCGGAAGTGCCGTTGGGACGATTACTGATGATGGATTTAAAAACACGCGTCTTTTTAAGGCCGTGAGTTTACGCTCATCTTCCCGGCTGAGCACATTAAGTGGCTTTCTTTGCTCTTCTTAGGGTGTGAGGTCTCAACAACCAGAGTCCACCTGTGCTGACAGCCTGATGCTCACCGCCAGCAGAAGAGGTCAGCGTCGGCATCTCCTTCTACGGAGCAGAGGCACGGAAAGCACCGCACTGGCCATCACTCTGCTCAGGAACGCAGAACACGGGCTCAAACCCGCACGCACGATCATTCCTTTCAGAAAATACAAGCCTGCTGAAATCGGTGTGAGCGCGCTCCTGTAAATTATTTGTAAGGTCTGGCAGCATCTGTTTTTTAATGATCACCTCCAGGGCTGTCCTCAGCACGCCCACAGCTGCCCCCGTATATCCGGTTGAGGGTCTCTTCCCACTGGTTTTGTGCAGAACTTAAGGATCCTTTCCATTTACATGTGGCGGGCTTTCTATGACTCTAGAAACCTTGTTCCACTCTAGTTTTTAACGTCTATTATTATATTCTCTTGTTTCTTTTCCCAAAACACCTTGGTTTACTTTTTGTTCTCAATCTTCCACCCCTGCCTCACTTTCTCTATTTTTCTCTTTTTTTTTCCTTCTGGGAGGTCATTTCTGGCATGTCCCTCAGCGCTGATTCAGTCTTGGCCCGGATTTAAACATGCATTTTCGTTCTGCTGTTGCGTCTTTATTTCTAAGCCACCTCCAGCTTTGCCCCCCAGCTTGCTGCTTGTCTCAGGACACTCTCTTCTTGGATTCCTGGGGACCAAGAATTCTTCCTGTCTTGTGAGGACGCCGCGGTAGGGCAGTTCACCTCTCCCCATCCTTGCGGCCCCGCCCTGCCCCTTCTCTGTCATCCAGGCACAGTGAACCCCAACCGCTCCAAGTTCTCTCTGTGGTGAAGCGTCTCTGGGCTTCACTCTGGAACACGCCACCTCACAGATGCCCTCTGTCACCATCAGTACCTCCCACTTTCTGGTCGCTGGTATCAGATTTGCAGCCTCCGCCTTGTTCTGAGATCCTGACAGCAAAGGTCCCTCTGCTTGAAGAAAAAGCAGAGCATATAGTAATCCGCCTCTCACGGCAGCTCCCTGAGGGCAGGGACAGGCAGCCGGCTTTCCCACCAGGCAGACACTCTGACAAGCCCAGGGAGCCAGGCAGGTGCTGCCCATGCCTCGTCCCCTTTCTTGAGGCCGGCGCTGTCCTCACATAAAGCTGAGCCCCACGTCCTGCCCCAGCGCCACTCAGATGTCCCTCTGCATCAGGACATTGGCAGCCTCAGTTTTCCACGCTGAGATTTTCACTGTTACTGCGTCTTCGTGTGTTCATTGCCAGGTCGATGCCATTCTGAACAAAAAGCCTCATCCTAAATAAAGCTGACTTTTTTTCTTTTTTAATAAAATACCGTTTCTTGGGGCTGGTAGAAGTCAGAGGGCAGGAAAGCTGTCAGAACACGCCAGCATTAGCATAAGGCTTACTTCAGCCACAGTTTGCATTTCTGCAAAGACACTCCTTATTGAATCCATTTCACAGTTGAGGAAATTGAGCTAAAGCAGCTAGTCCAAGGCCGCACAGGAAGCATGCAAATTCACGAGGCAGCCCGCCAGCTCATTTGGTTCAAAACTGTCAGTCAGGCTCGTCCCTAACCAAGGCAGCTGAAGACGACCTTGGTGTGAGAAGGTGACCCAGGCACTTGTTGGGAACACATCCCATCTCTACAGTGTTAAAAAGGACTGAGAGTTTTCATTTGTATGTTGTTTTTCTCTCATTTTATAGAAAAAAAACTCTGTCTGTGAGCACTTAGGTTGGCCAAGCTTTATAATATGAAAACTAAGCTCTATGAGGAACTGTCCCATTTGCCAATTATGAAATGACTTTCATAGTTCTTTGGTGAAAATAAAACGAAATAGGCCACATTTTCGTGATGACTTTCTCTGTAAGTGGG